CTCGAAGTGTGTTCGGACAGCACCCTGTCCGCCGTCATCTCGAAGGGACGTGGCGACCACCGGAAGGCTCGGGTCTCCGACGTGCGAACGCGCGTACGTCAACTCGTGCGTCGCAGAGCAGTGCACGAAAATGACTACATTCTGCCTCTTGCAACGCGCCAGCGCAAGCAGTTCGATGTCGCTGAAATAATAATCTGCGCACGTAGTCATGGCTTCCAGATAGGCAGGGTAGACAGCATTGAAGAAATTTGCGGGCAGCCCGGCAGATTGGTAGTTGCACTCCCTGGCCTTGTCCACAGACTCTGCGACAGCCGTTTTAGGTTCCAGATCGACGCCGCCGTCGAAATCGAGGCCGTCAACCACGTCGTGGATCTTACGAAAATTATCCCGGCAAAGCAACCTAACAGCGATGTGTAGAAGCATATATGAAAGCATTCCCCTTAAGATTCAGACGAAAATCCAATTGTATTCTGCTGTTCTCGCAGTCGTAATCGCATTCGCGATGACAGTCGCAGCGGCAACGGCAGTCGCAGTCACAGCCTCAGCCTCAGCCTGCCTCAGCCTCAGCCTCAGCCTGCCTCAGCCTCAGCCTGCCTCAGCCTCAGCCTCAGCCTGCTTCAGCCTCAGCCTCAGTCTGCCTTCAGCCTCGGCCTCAGCCTCAGCCTGCCTCAGCCTCAGCCTGCATCAGCCTCAGCCTCAGCCTCAGCCTGCCTCAGCATCAGCCTGCTTCAGCCTCAGCCTCAGCCTGCCTCAGCCTCAGCCTCAGTCTGCTTCAGCCTCAGCCTCAGTCTGCCTTCAGCCTCGGCCTCAGCCTCAGCCTGCCTCAGCCTCAGCCTGCCTCGGCCGCAGCATCAGCCTGCCTCAGCATTCAAAATGTGGCCCAGGAATGGAGTTCTGGGAACTAGAAGAACACGAAGTGGCCTACAGTTGGCTCCGGGCATTCAAAATCATGCCCAGGAATGGAGTTCTGGGAACTTGAAGAGCACGAAGTGGCCTACAGTTGGCTCCGGGCATACAAAATGTGGCCCGGGAATGGAGTTCTGGGGAATCGAAGAGCACGAAGTGGCCTACAGTTGGCTCCGGGCATTCAAAATGTGGCCCGGGAATGGAGTTCTGGGGAATCGAAGAGCACGAAGTGGCCTACAGTGGGCTCCGGGCATTCAAAATGTGGCCCGGGAATGGAGTTCTGGGGACTCGAAGAGCACGAAGTGGCCTACAGTTGGCTCCGGGCATTCAAAATGTGGCCCGGGAATGGAGTTCTGGGAAGTCGAAGAGCACGAAGTGGCCTACAGTTGGCTCCGGGCATTCAGAATGTGGCCCGGGAATGGAGTTCTGGGAGGTCGAAGAGCGCGAAGTGTGTGACTGTTGGCTTAAAACGACTTCTGCGGCACCCTGTCCGGCACCCGCCCAGACCCCCCTGTGGAGTCATCTGCTGCTCTCTTTTGAGACTACTAGAAACCTATCAGTCTTCGCTGTTAGGTAAAAAAAAACAAATCGAATGAGTTCTGGGGACATGCGTCTTCAACGACACTTATGTGCCACTCTCGAGCGCCAGCGGTTCCCGCGAACAGCGCCTCGTACTTGCTCAGGCGGCGTCCTCCAGAGAACTCATCAGATGCTTCTGCCGTGTACTTATCCAACAACCCCAGGGATCGCATCAAAGGCATTATGAAGACATCCTGAAAATCTTCGACGCAGAGAGAACCAAACTTTTGCATTATCCTTGTTTTACGCCCCCTGTGCAATTCAAATTTTTGCAGTTCTTCCCGGCATGCCTCAACGCAGCGCTGAGCAATGTCGAAATAGGATTCCAGAAGGCAGTGCCACACGTACTGACCTTCGTTGTCTCCCGCGTGCAGCGGAGCACCGAAGGGGTCCGACTGCTTCGCAAAGGGTTGGATCAAATCCCAGAGTGCCCATTCCATGTCGCCCAGCAGCTCCTCGGACGACAGCCTCGATTTGAAGATGTCAGCGGTGGGACCGAATGCTTCGCGGAGAAACGAGCGAGCGTCGCGCTTGACCAGCTTACCCCACTCCCACTCGCCCCACACAGAATGAATGGCGCACGCGCCGTCTCCAGCCGTATGCATCGTTTCCATCACCACCCCCTGCAAGTCTCGCACCGCTCGAGGCAAGGGCGCGTGAACCTCACGTAAGTCCACGACTGGCATCTCCGTGAACTCTGCCGCCCGCCCTCAGATGTTGGAAAGAAGAGCGTCCGTCAGAGCTAAGCCTTTTTCAACCTGCAGTCCCAACGCCGCAGGCGATGAGCCGTGCGACGCCCTGCACCTCCGTCGCTGGACACGATGTTCCCCTTGGCCAGGGAGATCTTGAAGCCCAGCGCCTCCAACCTCTGGCAGAGGTCCCTGGTGGCGCCGAACGTCGTGAACTCGATGCCCCTCAGGTTCCCGCACGCCGCCAGCGCGATGTCGCCCACCACCGCGTAGGCGCGCACAGACTGCCACGCGGCCACCACCGCGCCCATCGCCGCCAGGAGGACGACCCGCAAAAGAGTCGTGGCGAACGCGCAGCCCGCCACGATGGAGCTGCCGAGCTCGAGCGGCTCCGTCTTCCACCTGCTGAGACAAAGCCGCCTCGGGCCTCCGCAACTGCGGAGGATGAGCTTCAGCCTCCGAAGCTTGAAGCCGTGCCTGCGAGCTGCCGCCGCCAGCCCCTCGTGCGAGACCCTCTCACACGCCTTCGACAGAACTGCCATCGTCGACAAAGACTGCTGCGCCATCGCCGCCGCGACGTTCGCGTCGTGGGCCTGGGGCCACACTGCCTCCTCGCATGACTTCCCAGCCTCGCCGTAGAAGTAGTCGCGCATGCGCTTCGACTCCCACTCGACGGCGTCGGTCCTCCGACTCCTCCCCAGCAGGCGGAAAAGGCTGCTGAGGAGGCCTATCGGCGTCCACCCCCCGTCGGCCTTCGCCAGGAAGAAAAACCAACAGCAAATGCACCTGCTCGGGAAGCCTGCAAGTCGCCTCCAGCACTAGCAGTAGCAGGCCCAGCGCCTCCAAGCCCCCGTCGCCGAGGTGGCCGAAGGCGCGGGGCCTGATGGAGTCCCCCCCCCCAGCGCCGCGGACGGTTTGAAGCCCCTGGCCGCCTTGCAGATCTCGTTCGCCGTCGGCGCCAAGTCTACCCCTTCGAGGTGCTCCTCGGGCAGCATGGTCCAGATCCATCGGCATGACCTCGCCGCGCTGCCAGATCGCCCGGTACTCCTGCAGCAAGCTGCCCAAGGTCGCCCCGATGCCTGCGGGGCCGTTGTCGCCGTCCACGCCCGCCGTCCAGCCCTGCGGCGCTCGGCAGAAGGCGCGAGCGGCGCCTCCTCCATCTCGCACCGCCTCTTGGGCCCAGGCCCGCCAGCGCTGGCCCCTGCCCGTCGCGCTTCTCGCCTCGAGCCGCGCGGCAATATCCCGAGCCTCCTTCTCCAAGGCCTCGACCTCCCCGAAGGTGAGCTGCCAGGTCCGCCGCAGCTGCCTCCCCCACCTGGCCGCATCCTGCGGCGCCAGCGCCTCGACGCGCGCATGTGGGGACGCGGCGAGCTCGCTTCCCATCTTGGCGTGGATGGCCCTGAGCTGCTGGCAGGCTGGCGCTCGGGCGCCCGGGTGGCGCAGGAGCCTCCCCGTGATCATCTCTTCCCAGAGCGCCGCCCCCACCCTGCGCCAGTGGGCCGCATCGGGGCACCCTCGCACGTGGGCCCCGCTGTTGGGCAGGAGGACCTCCTGCGCCACGAAAGTCGGGTTTGCCTCGCGGCCCGTGATCTTCTCCGCGTCTTGACCGCTGATGTGGTAGCACCCCATCAAGTCAGACTCCAGCAACATGGCAAACTCCCCGCACAGGTCGTTCACCAACGTCTGGGGCAGCCCGATGTCCCCAGGGAAAGGCGGGCACCCAGCATCCTCCGCATTGCCGGTTCCCCCCCTCGACGAACCTTCCAGCGCGCTAGCTCTGAAAGGCGCATGTCCCCCTACAGGGACATGCGCAATGATAATAATAAAACCACTGTTTTGGAGCGTTTGACCCTGACTCGCCTTGCTGACGTTTTCGGTGCTCGCGGGACCACTCGCGAAGCTGACTTTTTAATAGCTCGCGGGACCACTCGTCAAAACAAAACTTGCCGCGATGCACTACCAGATGATCGGTTTTGCGAATCAATCGTTGGCAGCGTGGCCATTCGGAGAACGATCCAGATACCCTCCCAAACTACGAATGTGACCACAGTTGAACTGCAGGCCGAGGCTAACTCGACGACAGGACGCTTCATTTAGATCAGCGCTGCATGATGGCAGGCTATGCTATGCAACGCTGAGATACATCGCAGCGCAATGCAACGCAATGATGCGTCATGCCATGGTATTCGACGCTCGGCTGCGCCATGAGGCCCACTGTACCGCTATGCCGTGCTATGAGACGCGATGTTGCATGCCCAAGCCCACCCGTTACGACATAGAGATCAAAATAAGGGGGGCGTGGGGAGAGGGGAGGGATGAGCGGAAGGAGAGCCAGGGAGGGAGCAAGACGCAGGCAGAGTAGAAGGAGACGAACGTGAGTAGGAACCATAGTGAGCAAACGAGCGAGCATCATAGGGCAACAAGAACGAGGAGTTAGGAGAAGAGGAAGGGCAGGAAGAGGACGCAGGAAGGGGGGATGAAGGTGGCTCCAGTGGAGGGGGCATGGAGCAAGAGCAGGAGGACATGGGGAGACGATGCGGAGCTATCGTCCGCAACCGAGCGGCTGGCGATCCTCGGGCCGCTCGAGCGCCTCCCCGCGGAACTCCGCAGGAAGCTCGCAGGCCCCTCCGATTCTCCAGGTGAGAATGAGGGGAGCAGAGGCGCCCTGTCGCGCTCTCGGGCGCGAACGCGCCGAAGCAAGGAGAAGAAAAGGTTGTTGGTGGTGGTGCTGTTGCTGCTGCTGGTGAGGTGGAACTGATGTGCGTTTGTTGCTTCTGCTGCTGCTGCTGCTGGGATGAGGATGGGGCAAGCGGCGTGCCGCGGGCCCTACTTGCCCGTCTTGGCGCGCTCGATGCGCTTCTTGATGAACACGTGGCGCAGCGAGTCCTTTGACTTCAAAGGCTGCAGCTTCCCGTTCTGAACCGTGATCGCCGCCGCGACCTGGATCGGCGAACTCTTCGACCTGGCCGCATGCAAGATCAGGCTCTCGCACTCCGTCGTCATCACGCGATCCCCGAGCACCCTAGTCTCGTCCACGAGGCTCTTGTTGACCTCGCCGTGGACAAAGTTGACAGTGTCCGTGTACTGCTTGGTTGCCTTCAGCGGCAGACTACGACAGAGCTGACCACGGCCCGCCACGCAGCATTCCCCCCTCCCCGTGGACGTTGGCCCCCTGGGCCCGACCACCTCTGAGCTCGGCCCCCAAAAGACCCTCATCTAACCAAAACTGCCGACTGCCCTGACCCCTCGTCTGCTACCACACCCCAGGCCCTAGGACCCCTCAGTTATTTCATGCTGTGGGGTGGAATGCTTATGGGTGCCGCGCCTCCTCCAGGTCCGTCTTGAGCTGCCGCTGTGTCCTGGCAGGGTAGTTGGCGAGGACCTCCGCCTGGACCAAGCTGCCGAAATCCTCCACTCCCTCGGGCAAGTTCGCGTGCCACGGTAAGCCGTCCACCCCGCCACCAGCCGTCGCCCTCAGTTTGTCTTGCTCGAGCTTCAGCGCAGCCTCCTCCCCGGACTGCACGAGGCCGACCAGCGATTCGACCTGGTTCTCCCAGTACCGCACCTGGTCACCCAGGAACCGTGTGAACGCCTCCTTTGCGTCAGCGAAGTTCGAATTGTTCACGAAGGCCTGCAGCGTCTTGAGAGACTCTCGCTGCAAGGATGCGAACTTGGAGATGGAGCGGTACCCTGCGTGCGCGCCGTTCTGCACGAGCTCCCTCTCCTTGCCTGGTTCGCCCATCAGCCCCTGGATTCGAAGGAAATCCTCTGTCTCCCTGCAGGCCTTCAGGTCTCTCAAGAGAAGTCCGAGGAGACGTAGCTCGTGAGCAGGCACCCTTGGTTCTGGAGTACCAATCTTAATTAATTCACAGCTCATCAAGGTAACGTCCTTTGCAAAATCCAGGTCGACCGTCGCCTTATCATCAGCGTCGACCCAATTGTTCAATACCCAACCCGACGCGGAGATGACTGTCTGGAACAAGCACCTCTTGGCTTCCGTAGTCAGCTTGGTGTTCGTGAGCTCGGTCACCGTTGTCTTGAGCTTTGTCATGGCCTCGGCGTCGTAGGTTTCGGGTTTGGTCTGGATGGCAGCCTGGAGGTCCCTGCAGTCAGTCTCCAACCTCAGGCTGAAATGGAGGGTACTCTTCTCTAGCTTCAACGACTTGAGCGACTCCAGTATAACGTGCAACGACGGCTCCTCGGGGAACTGCTTGACCGCCACGGTGAGCAGTTGGATGACCTGGTCAATGGATTGGTTGAGCTGACCTTTCGACTGCAACTTCTCGAATCCAATTTTGATGAAACCCATGCTGCGGACAAACTTCGACAAGGTATCCTCGAAAGCCGACCCGACGCAGCGGTTAGTGGTGGCCCGCCAACTGTGGTAGTTACCCACAAGACGAGTCATCTCATCCCACGGGGGGTGGAACGCGAGCTTCTCCAACTCCTCGGGGTCCGTGGCCAAGTAGGCGGTGATGGCAGTGTCGATGGGGCCCAGGTTGTTGAAGATCTTCCTGGTTGCCTCGCACGCCGAGGTCGCGAAGGCGATCTGATTATTCCACCGCTCTGATGTCTCAAGGGCAGCGTTCACGCTCCTCTGGGTCTGGTTCGCATCGCTCTTCTCCGCGGCCACTGCGTTCCGAAACTCCTTAAACTCCGAAGCTCCTTAAACTCCTTTCCCATCCCCCACGTCCATCAAGAACATGATTTGCCCCGCAGACGTTGGCAAGTCGAAAGCGCACACTGCGCGGTGAGGAGGCACGAGGCACGCCTGTAAAGCATGCCCAATTGCCTCCGCGAGGTGCTTGGCGATGCAGTAGGCAATCTTCCTGTAGCCCTCGTCCTTAAGGATCGCGCTGCAGATCAACTGGTCGACGACCAGTGCCGGCGTCATCTTGCTGCACTCCGCGGCGGTCTTGGCGGCGATGGACGAGAGCTTCGGTTTCAACGGATCGAACGGCTCAGTCGACAAATCCATGCAGCCCGACCATCGTCCCTGACTGGACTCAGCGATGCCGCCCTGACCCTGCGACTGGAAGGAGTCCGGCAAGGTGTTCTCCTGCAGCGCGTCGAACTCCGCGAGCGAGTCAACCGCGAGGTCCACGGTGGCGCTCCACGGGCGGATTTTCTGCCAGAGCTCTTTGATGACCATGGAATTGGAATCGTCTATGACGGCATCTGGAGGGGCCAAGAGGTTGCATTTGCGGCTCACGAGGGCGAATTTGTAGGCGGGGTCCAGCCGATCGCCCCCTCCGCACTTGAGCGCGAGAATTGGATCCATGTTCTTGGCGATGTCATCGTCCGGCACACTCCCATTCATGATGACTTCCTTCCGGATCTTCAGTACCTTATCCACGAGGGCCATGTGCTTGGACAGGTTGGAGACGACACCAGCGCATTCGGGTTTCCCCTGTATGCGCGTCAGCAGGTTCCTGGCCTCCTTGATGCTGTTCTTGAGTTTGGCCCCGTTGATGTTCTGCAGCAGGTCGTTCTTCATGATCCAGTACTCTGCCTTATCTGGCACTTCCTATGGGCACTGATCGTACAACGCCTTGACGTCGCCGCCCTCGCTCTCCGCATGCTGGCTCATGCCGTCGAAGGCCGCCAAGCCTCCTGGAGGAGGGGGAGCAGATGAAGCTGCCCCCGAAATCGGCGGCGTTGACGGTGTACCGATGCCTTGGGAATGCGCAGCCAGCGCCTCTGCAGTCAAGGTAGCGGGAGCACTTCCGAAAGGTGGCACTGGCGGCAAGCCTTGCCGAGGGGAAACCTCCTGTCTCGGGATAACTGGTCTCGCGTGCTCTGCGTCGGGCTTCGCATCCAGGTTCCAACGACCACGTTTACGCTCGGGCCCCCAGGTCGCGAACTTCGAGTCGTTCGGCACCCCGCGCTTATTCGCCATCACGGGCTTCGCAGAACTACCTGATGCACTGCCAGACGCACCCTCTTCGCCAACAGATGCAGCTGTTCTCATTTTCGTCTTTTGGAGCCCCAACACCGCGCTCAGGTAAGGGACGTCGAGTGCACCATGCTGCTTCATGGCCGCTGCCTCCGCCACCACCGCCCAGCGAAACATTTCGCTGGATTGGCCTCCCAAGGTCGTCGCATTGAGATGCTGGAGGACCCGAACCTGCTTCGCGCTGAGCTTCCAGAAGACGCGCCCCCTGCGGTAGCCGATCATCTTGTCGCCCCTCACGTCCTCGAGCATCGCGTAGTAGAGGCGATAGCGTCCGTGCTCATCAACGCCCCACGTTCGATGGTTCTCGAGCGTCCGCAGGGTCCTCGGCGCCAAGGTCGTCTGCTGCATCAGCAGCCTGAGCTGCTCCTCCGTCAACAGCATGCGCTCGTAGTAGTACTCCGTTCCAGAGGCGAGCTGCGTGGCCACCTGCTCAGGGCCCGTCGATGGCGGGGCGGGCAGCTGGTCCTGCGGCAGGGGCGCACCGCAGATGCAGTTCTTCAGATAAGGACTGCTGTTAATCACCTCGATGAACTGGCTCTCGTTCGGCACGAACCAGAAAAGGCGGTTCTTGCCGCAAGCGCAGCGGCCGCACAGCAAGGAGTTGCCCTGTCCAGCCCGGAGCACGGAGGAGGGGGAGACGGAGGAGGGCGAGGGCAACGAGAAGGAAGAGGGTGAGCAATATAATAAAGAACCCATGTCCTCCCGCGGTCGCGCGCACGCGCCACAGCCGGCGCGAGCAGCAAGGGGGCTGGCCGCTGCCGCCGAGGACGGCGAAGACATGGATAGCTGCACTGACGCAGCAAGAAATATGGAAGCTACAAATAGCAGCAACTGCATCTGATGAAATTGCATCCGCTCTTCAGGAGCGCATGGCCTGGTCCAGAATTGCCACCGAGAAGGGGAGCAGCGGCAGCAGCAGCAGGTGAGGAGCAGGCATCCGGGATCCCCCTCCGTTGATCTTACGCAGCCTCGGGGAGGGCGGCCAGAAGATGTCCGGCGCCAGAAATTCGAGCTGAGCCCAGCCGTGGCGACCGCAGGCTGGCCGCGGCGGCCTACGACGAGAGCGCCCCCTCTGCGCAGAAACCTTAGGACGGAAGATCGGAGTTGTTTTGACCTCCTCCGTCCTCCTCCCCCTTCACATCCTACTCCACCTCTCTCCTCCTACTCCTCCTCCTCCTGCCCCGAGGTGCCCTCCTCCGAATCGCAAATATTCCAGACACAGCAGGCATTCCAGAAACAACCTCGCGGGCTGGTGGGTTCGTGGGCCCCCTCGCCAAGTAAACATATCCCTCCTCCTTTTTCTCCTCCTCCTCCTCAGCATCCTCTTCATCATCATCCTCGCGTTCGCCCTCCTCCTCCTCCTCCCTCATCCCCCCCCCCCCCCTCCCCCTCCTCATCCTCCTTCTCCCTTCCTCCTCCTCCTCCTCCTCCTCCCCCCCCTCCTCCACGTCATCCCCCTCAGACTCCTGTGAGAGCGCCGAGGGCCGATTGCCCCCCCTCCACCGATTGAAGACGAGGGAAACTCGTTTGCCTTCCTGATCGAGGCCCGCTGCAAAGGCATGGGCGGCTAGACTTTGGGACGAGGGCGGGGCTAAGGCCTAGCGCCTGCGGGGCCGAACGAAACGCAGAGCAAGCCTCCCCGACCTTCACGACGCCCCCTCAGGCCCACAAAACTAGGACCAGGAGGAGCTCGAAGTGGACACGAGCGCCCAAGACGGGGAAGAGGAGGAGGAAGAGGAGGAGGAAGAGGAGGAGGAAGAGGAGGAGAGGAGAGGAGGAGAGGAGAGGAGACGAGGAAGGAGGACAGGAGAGGAGACAAGGAGGAGGAGGAGGAGGAGGGGGGAAGAGGGTGCACAACCCCCCCCCCCCCCCCCCCCCCCCCCCCGAGCAACCCTCACTCCCATTCAGGGACGGTGACAGCGGAGCCAGGTAAGCCGCGCGATGGAAGGGCAATGTTTCCTCGAAGTTGGCTGGGAACCATGCCGGGCCATGTTTAGCGAATTGGGTTTGATGCACCTGGAGGAGCCTGGGGGGCCATGGACATAAATTCGCCCCCCCCCTCCGTGCACCGCTCATCGGTGGCGAAAGTGGTAGGTCCACCCGAGGGAGCTCCCCCTCCTCCTCCTGCCCCTGATCCCCCCCCCTCCTCCTCCTCCTCCTCCTCCCTGCGTCCCTCCTCAGCCTCTACTCTGCCTCCTCCCTCCCCCCCCCCCCCCTCCTCCCCCTCCTCTCCCCCCTCTTCGTCGTCCTCCTCCTCCTCCTCTTCCTCGCCCTCCTCCTCCGACCCCTCTCATCATCCTCCTCCTGCCCCTCCTATGGGTCGCGAGCCCATTAAGCAGATGTGGCCATTTGGGAGCTCAAGAGACATCGAAAACGAAGCGAACCTCCACTGAGTTATATCAATCACCTTTCTCATTGACACTGGGGCGCGCAAGCAAGGCAATCTCATTATCAGAAGCTGTCGCTACGCACACCTATCGGGAAGCTCGCCACGCAATAGCGGCTCCTGACCGCCAAACCCCCGGCACGGAGTAGGACGATTGCCGCGAGCAGGCTCGGCCAAGAACAATTGCCGCGTCATGGTTATATTGGATGTTGCATTTGCTACATGTTGTCATCCCATTGTGATGCAACGTGTGCGTGCGACGAATGTTGTCGTGCGAATGCCCTACTGTACTACTAATGATCGATGTTTCGAATGCTTCTGTCATGATGATGGAACTGAGACGGCGGTTGCGCCATCGTATGATGCTGGCGTGCGATGTGTTATATGTATTGCGCGCATGGATGCACATGTGTGTGAGCGTATACGCACGATACCTCAAGGGCAGCGTTCAAGGGCCTGCCTGTGAATTATAAACATAGCTGCCACTATACTAACCCACAGCGCTCCTAGGTCCTAGGGGACTACTTCTGGCTCGCTGTCATCATCTGGAAGCGCCTTCGGCACCTCGCACTCCCGTTCAAGGTGATGGAACTCGGGCTCAACAGCCCTACTGACATACCTACACGCTCTCCTATCATCGCGAACTGGCACGTAAAGACAATGCTCTTCCTTGCTAGAAGAGTCGACCTCGGCCAGCCAAGCTGACCCCCAACCTAAACAACGGCCCTGGCCCATCCCAGCTATGGATTCGGAGGGGTATGCTGCTTTCTCTATTTTGCAGCGCCCGTGACCTTTGCCTTTACATTCAAACGCAAATCGAGGGCGTTCAGAATGATAATAAACTATAAAGCCACCAGGTACTCTAACCCGAATGGTGTGATCGAAGGCCCTGCTCGGACCCCCACCCCCCCCATCGTCGCCGCCGCTCGGTGGGCGAGGGGCTGGGTGCGGAGGCGGCGGCGGCGGGATTGGTAGCGGAGCATCGGGGCCAGGGCAAGGGTCATCGCCTGGAGGTGTCGCGGGGCTATGGCCTGGTGGCGCATCAGTCCCTCCGACGACGTCAACGGGACCTGGGAGATCTGATCGGGCCCCATGGACATCTTCATCTTCCGAGCTGCTGAACCAAACCCTCTCGGATAGATCTGATGCACATGCGCTGCGTGCTCCGCGTGAGCTGTCAGTCCCAGAAGTCCCGTCCGCACTGCTCTCATTGGAATCGGCCGAATCCTCCTGCGCCACGGGGCTGGGGAACAAAACCTCGATATCCTCGTCCTCCTGCCCCTCCTCCTCCTCCTCCTCCTCCACCTCCTCCTCCTCCTGATATAGAGTGATTGTGGAGCCCCCCCAGACAAAACGCCCCGTGTTGTTTACCCGAAGGTCCTCGGTCTCGTCGCCCCCCTCGTCGCCCTCCTCATCCTCATCCTCCTCGTCTCCGCCAGGGTCGAGTCCCCCACCGGGCCCTGGGGCGCCTCGGGCGCGCCGCCCCGGACGTCTCTTCCAGAGGAGCCTCCACACAACCCCATCGAAGGCACGACCACATGCAGACACATTGTTCGGGCACATTCGCAAGGTCCTCCGATTGCGCTGGTCGAGTTTCAAGAAGGCGGCGTGCCAGCACAAGCCGAAATCCAGCATGCCGATGGCGTCATAGATGACGCACCACTCCGACATCGCCTGTCGGATTGGTTTGGGAAGCACACACTGTGCAGAAACGTCAAAACCACATCCTTAACTGCATGTGCGTGGGTGCGTGCGTATACTCGTGCGCATGTATGACTCTACAAAACTACCGAACTAAAGGGTACAAATACACATGTATGCGAAGCCAGCCTAGGAATTAAGCGTGCCACCCCATCCTCCCTTCTAAGTGCAACACGAAATTTACAGATTCGCGTGCCTCTAGTAACCTGTGGTGCTCAGATTAAGTAATCGCCATAAGCGCGTGACACTGTTGACCGGCAGATGTTTGCATCGTCCAGGATTGCAAAAGGTGTTTGTATGCCCGAAAGAAGAATACATGTTTGTGTTGATGTTGTTAGTTACATGGGTGACAGCTCCCGTTGATTAATTTGTGACTCCGAAATGCGCGCGACGCTTATGGAGGCGCCATCATCCGCGGGTGGAGATTGGGAGATGGGCGACGCGGCTCGCGTTTCCATTCGATGACACCAGAACTGACGTGACT